CAGTTTTTGCGTATTCCTGCCCGAGAACTAATGATATTACTCAAAATTTCGTCAATATTTGTGTTACATATTCACACAACCAACTGCAACATGAATAACCGAGTTTCTTTGAGTCAGTTGTTGTGAGATATGTGCTTATTTTACGATACACTATTTGGACTTATCACACTGCATACTGTAGTTGATGGAAGTGCACATGTGTTTTTTTAGCGACCACGGTAAAGCAAAACCTGTGAATAAAATCGTACATGGAAGTAGGGTATAAAGTTTACAACTGGGAAGGAAAATGATTACAATTGATAAAAACTGGTGTCTTCCACGCTTAAGACGTACTGAAAGTAGTCTTATTGTGAATAAGCGTAAACAATGCATAGTAAGCTGAGGTGAAACCTTAGATTACCATTAATTCGAATGAAACTCAAAGGAAGAATGATCTATCGAACATTAAGCTCAGGGTAGATTCTCTGAATAAAATCTGTAAATCAGCAGTTGGAGTCCGACTACTAATCTATCTGTTCAACTAGCACCAAACAAGTGTTATCGTTAAAGTATTGGGAGAAATATTTCTGTACTAGTTGTCTCTTCATAAAAAATTACAAAATCTCTTGACTAGAAAATAACATCAATCTCTTAGGAGACATCCATGTCTAAACAGCCCACCTGATGTGACAGAAGACTGGACAACAGATTGTGAAATTGATCTGTCTGTCAATGTAATACTCAGCAATTTCGGTCAGACATACAATGAGGTGTTCGACTTAAAACGTATGCAGAACCCTTCTGAATTCTAGATAACAGGTATGAAATAAAAATCTTCCGCTTTCGAAGGAAAAAAATGAAAATGGGAAGTTTCTTGGAAAAATGGAGATCTGTGCGAGGTGAGTACCGTAAGTTATCATACTAGGTCTTTCGCTATTCCTGTTGTTTGTTAACCGGTTTCCGAAAGCGCTTTGATTTCCATCACATCCATTTACGTAAGCGACAAAGGTTAAGAGGATAATAAGTAAAGAGACTGATAGGTCATAACCAATTAGTTATATAGCCCTTTAAAAATAACCCGTTCCAAAATGTTTTCAATGCAGCACGGTGGTGTCCATCACTACCCTGTTAACAACACACCACTGCCACAAGTTCTAGAACGAAAATGTTTAGCTTTAACCCAAATCATGATTAAGGAATGTTTCAACTTTTATGTCCCACTGACTCAAAACTCCGTGTAAAATACTGTATCCAAACCGCCAGTCTATATATAGCAATATACGTGGGTGTTCTCGATTGCCTCCAAAGTGTTGGTAGTAAGCCGAAAGTAGAAGTTGAGGGTCTGTAACATCATCGCAATTATTTACAGCTACAATATGTTGAGTAAAGGCCAAGCAATGGTTGCCTCTACTAAATGCCAATAGGTTTTCCAACACTAAACAGGGCCATTCTCCAGACCACTCGCTAGTGGATTACCACGAATACAGTCACCTGAAGTAGTGAAATCCATTTATTCGATGTGTAATGCGTTTAAATCATAAATGATAAGGCAAATATCAACATTATTTTGTGTGCAGCTATGACTCAAAATGGCCATCTGAGACATTTCGGACTGTAGTGTTACCCGTGTGGTCATTGGGCTGCATCTGGGCTTCATACTGCTGCCTCCAACTAAAACGTACGCTTGACTACACACTCAGGTCATATATGACGTATTCATGTGTCTCCCTCGTTAAAGCTAGTTGCCATGTCGATTCTAAAGTAGATGCGCTCTGTAATAATTAGAATAAAATTCACGTGCGTTGTAGAACACAATTCCTTGGCGGTGGTTGTGCTGGATTTTGTTTCTCCCACTGAGTAACTTATCTGGGAGGTCTAGTTTTGAAGAATGCTACTGTTCATTTGGGGAAACTATATCACACTGGCGACTTAAAGTCTAATGACTTAATATATCAGTTGTAAAATATTAATGAGCATTTGAAACTCCACTAAGAATAGCTTGTTTTTGGCAATCAAGATTTTGGAAACATTTTGTATTTCGGATGACTTAGGTGATAATGCTATTGTGGATCGTCGGTATAAGAGTTGACGTTAAGGGAACACTGTGCCCTGTGGCAGATGATCTACAAAGAGTCAGACGGCCCGATAAATAAGGCCATATTGTGGTGCATATAATGTTGGTCATCGAAATCTGCGAGAAATGAAACTTTTTCACTAGACAGGCTGGTATCTATAGTAGTAAATAAATCCCCATGACAAATAGTTCCGTAAGTCTTCAACATCGACGCTGGTCTCATTAGCTTTACTGAACACACCATAGCTGAAGGTGATTAGTTACGCATCCATAACAGATCACGGGTTGGTACGCTGTGCTACTCATTCCTTGCAACCACTAGCTGGTTTAGACCAAACGCTCCTCGACATATGGATGGCCTTTCAAATATATCTTCGAACTTCTTCATTTCTAACTTCTGTTTGACTGGGCTAATGTTTCATCTCCCCTGAATTTGTTGTTCATCAGTTGACCGAGGTATGTAAGGAATTAGATATCACACTTAACACAACCACTGTTATGGATTTAAGCTTGTAGGTTGTTTGATTTTCATTCTGTTCAGGTTTTAAAAAACATTTTACAAGATGACTTAAGACAGACAACAGTTGGTTCATGAGAAGCTCAATAATATAACACTCTATTAACAAAGGACTATGATCACCATTACAATTCGATTACGCGCCCAGAATCGACTTGGTCGTTTTGATAACTCTCAAACCAGGAGGCTATATTTATTCCAGACAAAGTATATTTATTGCGACCTCGTGGTATCGAAAGAATACCGACACGTGCCAAGGAGTACAAGCAAAGTGGGCAGAGCGTAAGAAAGTTCGAACCAAACAAAGTGGATAGCGGAACCAGAAGTGAATCTGATACAATTAAACAAGTACAGTAAAACAATCACTGGTACAATTGGTTACAATAATAATAATTGTTTCTATTATTCCAATCATGTTCTTATCGAGACAAGCTGGTCACTACACAGTAAACACTTCATTTGCAAAATGTCAATCAATCATCTCAGACTTCATTGTTCCTGCATTGTCATACGAATTGCTTTCTGTTCCCGTTCTTTCCTCCACAATCTTCTCGACTTTCTGCTACCATATATTCTAATACTGACTATCGTTATATTCTACTCATATCGATATAAATAGTAAACACCACACTTCTACTATGTAATATTTTCAAAAATCTGAAAAATACTATGCTTAATATGCCTTAATTAGGAGTATATAGGATTTTTGATTTAAACTGTCATTGATTTATACCTATACACAATCAAGTAGTGTCTGTATAACGTATTCATAAAATTATGCAGTTGGAATCATGAGTCAATTGAAGCTAAACCATCATGAAAAACCTGGAAGCTTTGAAGGGCCGTTTCGTCCTATTGTGAGACTCCTCAGCAGTGCAAATCTACGATTCCGCCTCGCGAGATTCGAACCCAGGATCTATCAGTCTCTAGACCACTGAGCTCGCCGGCATTAAACGGTGTTAATATCTAACTTCAACCAATCAACGAAATTCAGCAACTATTCACCAATGTCTTCAGTGAGTTGATATCTCCCAAAAGACTTGGTTGAACTCTACTGGTCTCTGCTTCTCACTAGAACTTCAGGAAATACCTCATGAAGCCGGTCACTAGTAAGTATATGTTCATTATCCGAAGGGGTTTTGTGGAGATTTTAATAATTTTATATCGTTGAAATCATGAATCAATTGAAGGTAGACCACTTTGAAAAATTTGGAATCACTGGACGTCCTTTTCTTCTTATTATGAGACTCCTCAGCAGTGCGCATCCAAGATCCTCCATCGCGAGATTCGAACCCAGGATCGATCGATAACTATTCGTAATAGTATTGACTAGGTTACTAACACCATGACAATTCAATTCTTTAAAGATGTCAATCATAATCATAAGTGCTATTGAAACAACCCTTATCAATATAGAACAAATATCATATTTTGAATGGATATATGTATATGTTTATATACATCTATATACGTTTCCTTGGGGCAAAAAAAGAGTAAAAGCATATAGATATAGATACATAAACAGAAATGCAAAATGCAGAATGCAAGAAAAGTAACCCATCATCATCATAATAATAAGATAGAATATCTAGCCAATTGAATGATTAAACAAAAAACAACTTTGTTTATATTATACATATTACTATCAAATCAGTAAATAAGTAGTTAAAAAGTTCATAAATCAATAGTTAATCAGTAGTAGTAGTAGTGGTAGTAGTGGTAGTAGTTGTAGTAGTAGTAGTAGTGGTAGTAATAGTAGTAGTGGTAGTAGGGGTGGTGGTAGTGGTAGTAGTGGTATTAGTAGTAGTAGTAGTATTACAATATACAATAATATTTTCCTATTCATTATATATAAAGATAGATATATAACTTGAACTATACAGTAATATATACAATATTGCATAACCTGATTGACTGAATACATCAGTTCATGGTTTGATCGTTCAGTTTACAAGAAAACAAAGGACGCTTTCTTTTTAAAGTAGACATTACAGAAGGTTATAGAAGTAATGGTACATTCTGATCAAATTATTATATAATCATTTTGAAGAAAGTTAGGGTAAGACTAGGACTTATGGATAATCTTTGAACGACGTGTTAGACTGACCTTGAAAGTGTCCACTTGGTAACTAAGGCTAAATAAGGGTTATGAACCAGTTTGAAGAATAAGGATTAGAAATTACAGTTGATAGTTAAGGTTCAGGATTAGATTTATGGTTTTCATCACGAATTGACCTCAGCTATAATGCCAAAACTCTATTAAGCCAAATGGATGAATGAATTTCGCGCCAAAATCCAAGACCTGTTATCTTCAATGTGATTGATTCATTCATAGATTATAGTCTCCTCAAAAGATTTTTTTGTTTTTTAAAAGAAAATATATATACTATGGAATTTTCATTTTAAATAGTAAGTAATATATCATCTTGTATTTAAAAAGAAAGAAAACGTTATTCAATGGTTGTTTCATGAATGGATTGATTACATAATGAACTTGATCCATTATGATATATAGATGAATTATTAAGGCACATATTCTTGTTATCTTTATCACTTTGTTCTATTTCACGTTGTTCTTCTTGTAGTTTTTCTTCTCTCTCCTTTTCTTCTTTTTTTTCGTTTGCTTCCATAGCAACGTGATCCATTTCATCATTGACCCCTAGTTTATGCTGCATTGATTCGTTTTCCTTTTGAGTCTTTTCTCGTTGTTGTTGTTTTTCTTCTTCTTCAATTGGTCCGTTTTTATTTATTGTAGATTGTTCTGAATACATCACTGATATAGTTTGAGTTATATTATCATTTTTATTAGATGATATTGATTCACCATCATATCCATTTATTGAACTTAATGATGGACTTAATTGAGGTATAGATGAAAGGGTATTATCTATAATTGATAAAAAATAATATGTAAATGCGTTGATTAATATTGAAACACTGTTTTTATGGTATTTTTATGTTGATATGATATTACTACTTAATTGTTAAATAAGTAGTTTGAATTCATATCACTAAAAATTGATGTGGCTGTACGGAATAATGCTATGTAAATACATTAAATTAATTTTGAATATTTTAATAGTTGAAATCATGGATCAATTGAAGCTAGACCACCATGGAAAACCTAGAAGCACTGGACGGCCGTTACCTTCTATTATGAGATTCCTCAGTGTCAGTGCCCATTCATGATGCCGACTCGCGAGATTCCAATTCAGGACCTATCAGTCTCGCGCGAGAGCAATTAACCTTTAAACTAATGCACTGACTGGAATCCAGTGGTGTATATGTCTAACTCCAACCGATTCACGAAATTGAGCGACACATCAATCATTGTCTTCCGTAATTCTTACTTAAGTTAGTACATTGAATTATTTTCTGAAAGGATAGTTCTTTGGTATTTATCTTTTGTAATACGTAAGTTAATGTTTTAACAGATATTACTATGGTGTATGCTACTTATGTTGACAGATATAAATAGTATATGACACCAATCAGTGGTAAAATGTCTAGCAACAGAAGTTTAAGAAGATCATGTAGAAGAGAAATGGAACAGAGAGTGCTTCGTATGGAAATGAAGGAACAATAAATTCTGAGACTATTATGTAACATTTTGCAAATGAAGTATTGAAAGTATGGTATTCATATCTCAATAATTAAATCTACAATATTGTGCTCAAAATGTATTTGGTTGTCTCCTACCTACGTTCTCATCTATTCCCATGTTATATCTCTAGGCTTATCGGTTGTACATATAAAGAAGAGAATATATTCAAGTACATCTCAACAAGAAGAAACAGAACTTCATTTATTTATTTGAACACATAAATATTGATACAAAAAAGCACCAGATACATATATGCCACATAAATTTCATTTGATTTGTGTGAGGACTATGATACTACCCGGGTGCCCAAACTGAAGCAGGTAGTTTTCTTAGGAGGCCATACCCTGATCCTTTGACCTAAAGGTCTGATTCACAAGGCAGTGGAACATCGTGAGACGATACAGTCCCATGGTAGCCACTGACCAACGATTGATTCATACGCCATTTGTTCCCTCAGGATAGTGAAGCTCATGTGCACCATTGGTTTGGAATCACGGTTTTCCAACTTCCCTAAGTGGACTTTCCGTTTCTACCAACCCGGTTAAAGCGTCGGACATTCACTTTTCGTCCTCTCAATTTCATAAACAATACCCTCGCCACGAGAAGGCAGTGAATAGGACAGATTATTAAGGATTCCATCCATATATATACATCAGTAGCTTTCTTCCTTTTCTTTCCCTAATATTTCAATGGTTCATATATATTAAATTTTGTTTCGTTTTGTTTCTTTTTCTAAAAAAAAAATTTCTTTTACATGAATATTTTTCAGGTATGAGATTACCCATAGACAACAATATTGTAATGATTCTTTACTGATAGTAATATGTATAGTAATAGTAATTAAAGTCTTTTGTTTCCTTCTTCTTCTTCTCCTCCTTCTTCTCCTGCTTCTTCTTCAGTTTAATAGCTTCAATGAAATGTAACCCTAGTAACATATAGTCTAACATAGTCAAATATAAGAACATAGAAACATACATGGTTACACACACACACACACACATTCATATATACACGTGTACAACGATGTATTCATTCAACACAACTGGAACTATTGTATACAAAATACATAATTGTAATGATGTTAATCTATTAGTTTTGTTACCATGATTATTATGATGATGATTATGATTACTATTATTTTGACAATTTATGTTGTAATCTCTTGGTGGTATTAACACCATTGTTACTAATAGTATCAATATTTGTGTTCAAAAAAAAAACAACCTTATATCCATTGTTGTTGTACCTTTTTGTTAACATTGATAAGTTGTTGTAGTTTACAATATGATACAGATAAAACAAAGATGGATTGTGGCGTTTGTTGTGAATACACTGAAACTATTCACCAACACACTCACACAACACACTTACACACACTCACACACACACACACTTACACACAACACACAAAACATATCATCACCATGAGGAGTAAAAGGAGAAACCAAAGTAGATAAAGAAAGGAACAATTGTTTGCACAACAAACGAACATATATACACACACACACAAAGTGTAGTACACATGGAAACTATAAAAAAAGGTAACTAAAAGAACAAGAATTACTATTATGATGATGATGATTTAAAAACTTTCAATGTGTTAATCAATATACAAGAAGTGATGTGGAAGTAAAAAAAAATGAAAAGTTGAAGAAAAAGAAGAAGAAGAAGAAGAAGAAGAAGAAGCAGGAGAAGAAACATCATCATCAACAACAACAACAGCAAACTTTGTTGAAACCCTCCCTCTTCTGATAATAAACTTTCATAGTTAATAAATTTAATTATATTTTCATATACTACTGTTAAAATTATTATAATTACCATGTTATTATTGATATAAACATAGTTTACTACTACTACTACAAGAACAACAACAAGGAGGGGGAAGTGGGAGAACAAGAAGAAGAACAAGGAGAGAGACTAACCATGACCATGTATAATAATGAAGTTGAAAAAAACAAAACAAGACAATGTTTATTAACAAAAGAAGTTAAGTTGTAAGTAGTAGTAGAAGAAGAAGAAGAAGAAGAAGAAGAACAAAAAAAGAAAGAATACAAAAAGGGGAGGGAGAAAGAATTGAACAACTGAATGGGGTGGTGAAATGACAGGACTAGATGAAATTCATTGCCAAGTTACCCTGCTGTGTAATATAGATAGATGTGAGTGTGTGTGTGTGTATGTTTAAATTCTACTTATAAAGATTGTTATGAACAAAGGTGAAGGGAAATTGATGTAGAGATTATGCTGCTGTTGCTGCTGCTGCTGATAATGATGATGATAATAATCAAAACGTTTATTATTTGCCACCACTGTTGTGTTTTTAAATGCCGATGTCAAAACTATCTTTTATATTGTATTCACTATATATTGCCCCATCAACCATAGAAACATAAGTATAAGATTATGAGTAGTATATCTATGTATATATATTCAAGTTATCATGTAATATTCCGAATAATTAACTTATATCTGATGTATTTTTTTTAAGTAAACCCTTTTTCTTTACATCATTTCACAAGTTGAAAAGAACAATACAGACTGAAGGAAAACGATAGAGGAGAAGGAGGAGGAGGAGGAGAAGGGGGAAAAAGAGAATAACGATGAAAAAAAAACACAACAACAACTGAAGAAACAAAAGTTTGTTGAAGTGTCAGTTTGTAATCGGGTTTGTGTTAAAAAAAAATTTTGAAATAAGAGACAAAACAGTGAGAGAGAGAGAGAGAGTATGTCTGTGAGGGGAGAGGGAAGACGGATAGAAACAAAATTCCTACATCAAAAGAGGAAGAAACAAGTAAAATATCACAGAATGAACCTATTTGTTATCAAACTAAAATTACCACACAGAGATAAACGTGTACGTACACACACACACATACATACATACACACAGAGACATAAGTAATACATGATGTTCACTTCATGTAAGGTTCTTCTTATCGTTATTATTACTATCATTACTACAGAAAAGAACAATATAAAGTAAAGCATTATAAGCAAAGATGTATCAGCCAGCCAGCCAGTCACAACGTAGAACTTCGTACGAGCGTACACCAGTTCGAGTTGCTATAAGACAATAGTACAGAGATGAAGTTGTCGATTCAAATCCCATAATGGTTGAAATAGTAAGAGTATAAGTAGTAATCTAAAAGATTAAAGTTTGAAGATGTTATTGAAAAAGTAAAATCCAATGAACTAAATTTTGATAGAGAAAAAAGAAAGGCACAGGAAGAACATCCACAAAGAGTGGATGCACCTTCTTCATTGTAAACGATTTTGAGTCATGTCATTCAAGGTCTCCAACCATCGCTTGTTATCATCTTGGGGATCCCAACCAGGTAGTCTACAACTACCAATATGGCTCAGTCCAATTGTTGGTGACTTCATGGATTTGTGCCACGTTTTAGTATGGCCACCCCTAGTTTTCTTCCAACCTACTCTTACGCCATAAAACGTTGCACGTCGGGGCGGTCGGTGGTCGTGCATACGTAACACATGTCCCAGCCATCTCAACTGATGAAGTTTCACTACTTCCTCAATCGATTTGCCATCCTTACCTAGTAACTGTTTCCTAACAACTGCATTACTTACCCGGTGGTCCCAGGATATACGAGCAATGCTTCGAAGACACCTATGATCGAATACTAGCAGCCTACGAATAACAGTCCTATTTAGGACTCTTCAGTTGGACGTATCTACATTTCAGAGTTGATATACACTTCAGGATGTACATATGCCAATAAGAGACTAATCAATTACAATCATAAACATCAATGAGAAGATTCAAATAAACAATACAAAATGATTGTATTTGTTTCTGCAAGCATTTTGGTACATGTTCACACACCCTAATTTTCAGATCATGATTGCTCCTCTCTATGTATATGTGACCACACATACATTTAAATTGGTAAAGACAGTGGGATGTGACACAATCGTTTTCTTGTCTTTTAGGTTTTGAATGAAGCATGGAACTCGTTTTTTCTTTGGTTATGACCTTCGCTGCACAATACGTTTTGTTGATGACAGATTTAAGCCTTTTTTTCAATAAAAGGCTATTTGATTCACCTCTAAAATGGTAAGGTGATGTAGACAGACGTTTTTTCCACCACGGCTACAGTAGGTCTGACTGTGCCATGAACTTTCTATCTATTGATAAATTTAGGTGGATAACCATTCCTCATTAATGTATTGTTTAACAACTTAACATCATCATTAATTGCATCGTTTGTGCAAATACGATCAAGCCTGTTAAATAGGCACCTTATCAAACCCCGTTTGTATTG